CGGACAGGCCACCGAGTTCTTCAAGGCCAAGGGGTTCACGCAGGAGCAGGCCCAGGAGGCCATCGACCTGTACACCCGTATGGCCGGCGAGGACACGGCGGCCCTGCAGCAGGCCGTGGAGGCACAGCGCCTGCAGCAGATCGAGCAGTGGGGCACGGAGACGAAGCAGCAGCTCGGCAGCAAGTACGACGAAACGGTCGGCCTGGCTACCACCGCTGTGAAGGCGATCAACGATCCCGAGCTGACCAAGGCGTTCAACGAGCTGGGATGGGGCAACCACCCGGCCATGGTCAACGCGTTCGCGTTCATGGGCCGCTTCCTGCGGGACAGCCCGATGGATGGCCTCGGTGGTTCGACCACCAGCGCCACTGGCGAGCGCACCATGGGTCAGCGCATGTACCCGGACATGAAGTAACCCCACCACCTCAACCCACAAACCCTCAGCCGCCGCAAGGCGGTTTTTTCATTTCAAGGAGCAAGCACCATGGCTGTGATCGGAAACACCATGCCGACCCTGCTGGAGGCATCCAAGCTGTACACCGGCGATGGCACCCCGCTGCCGGTGGCCGAGCTGCTGACCGAGCAGAACCCCATCCTCGACGACATCCCGTGGTTCGAGGCAAACCAGACCACCGGCGAGCGCCTGGCCGTTTGCACCGGCCTGCCCTCGGCCGTCTACCGCAAGCTCAACGCGGGTATCCCGGCGAGCAAGAGCCGCTACGCCGACGTCACCGAGTCGACCGGCATGCTCACCTCGCTGGGCAAGATCGATAAGGCGCTGGCCGACCTGTCCCCGAACGCGGCCGATTTCCGCGTGCGCGAGAACATGGGCCACTTCACCGCGATGAACCAGACGTTCGCGGACCGTCTGTTCTACGGTGATACGGACATCAACCCGGAGCAGTTCCTGGGTTTCGCGCCGCGCTTCAGCACCGCCGACCCGGACGATGCCGAGAACGCCGTCCAGCTGATCAATGGTGGCGGCACCGGCACCGACAACTCGTCGATCTGGCTGATCGGCTGGGGCAAGGAAGGTGCCTACGGCATCTACCCGAAAGGCTCGAAGGCTGGCCTGGTCCACAAGGACTACGGTGAGGAGCTGGTCAAGGACGCCGACGGCAACG